TTATCTCATCAGTGGTCAATCTTTGATGATTATAGATAAATTTCATTGATTTGTAATATGCTGCAATCTGATTGGATTATGCAAACAAACAAACTTTATGCAGTTTCACGACTGTATTTATGTCGCTATAACCCTTTCTTTCAGAAAAGGGAATAATATTTTACTTCGATGATTATATCCGTTTCTCGTTCATTGAATTACATTCGCTCACTTCTTTATGTTTGGATTCTACCAATTTCTAAATTTGACACTCAATGTGTTCTTCTCACTTATTTGTATTGCTCCGTTTATCACGGTGACATTTGCTGAGAAGTCAGCAACTCAACAAGTTGTTGAAGGTGCTACTCCTGCTGATCGGAAAGATAAAGTTATCGAAATGGTACAATTTTATTTATTGGCGTTTCATTTCGATTTTCATCATGCGTTTAGATCATTCTGGGTTAAAGATGCTGCTTTCACCGAAAGTTGCCGAAGATGTTGAATATGTAAACGATAAAGCTGGAAGTAGACTTGCCGATGAATATGCGGATGTTGCTGAGTAATATAAGAGTTATTGATATATCAACTGATAAGTTTGATATAGTAGTCAAAGAAAAATTAGCAAAAGTAGCTGACGATGCCAAAGCTGCAGGTAATAATCAGACAACTGATTTGATTTCGGTGCTAATATTAAAATGATCTTTTAATTTGGCTCAAAAAACTTTCGAATTACCTCGTGTCAAAGATTCATCTGTTTTGCTTGCATCTTTTTATTATCAAAATGTTTTCTTTTTCAGCTAACGAACCCTTGAAAGCTACTCGACATGCTGGTACGTCTTGCAAAGCGGCAATTCTAATGAATTTGTCTCGAAAATATCTTGTAGGAGCTGATGCAGTTGATTCCGCCACCGAATACGTTCAAGAATCAAGAAAACAAGCATCGAAGAAAGCGAAAGAAACCGCCGAAGAAACCAGTGAAAAAGCACAAAAAGCTAAAAGAAATGCTGATCTCTAAGTCAACAAAACTTTCTTTGTTTCTTTTCTCGCAACTATCTAGCCTAGCAACTCATATTCACTTTGTTTTCTCGTGATACTGACTTTCGTTCATAACAACTAGTCGTATTTATTCAAGCAATGTCATGATTTTTTTACTTTTTGTATTTTAATCTCGCTCCATGTACAGGATCAATGAATTTGTATTGATTTTCTCGGTGTAGTTTTCATTTGATACCACCAATAGATGAAAATATATTCCATAGGAAATGTAATTCCAAAGTACAATCTTATTCGTGATGGAGACGCTAAACTGGTTTCTAATAATGACAAGAAAGGAAAGAGAAAAAAATCACGCGGTTTTGCATCACATGTTCGAAATAACAAATATTCACGTTATTATCAGATGTTTTCGATGTATAAATGAAAAAAGAAAAAAAATGATGTAAGAAAAGAATTTTCTTTCATAAGAAGTGCAAATTTCGAGTAACATGGTGCAACGCATTGATCATCAGATGGCGCCCACGTTCTTTCTCGTTCGTACAAAATCAACTATTGGTGACAAGTAGAAGTCCAATTATTCCTTCTTCTTTTCATATGATGCATATGATGTTGAAGATAATGATGTGGGGTAAATGTCGTTGGATATTTCATTATCTGTCATCTGTTTTCTCTTCCCTGTCGGAGAAGACGTTAACCTCGAAAGAAATATTCGTCAATTTTGTTTGTCAAGGATTATTTATTCTAGATTCTTTTTCTTCTTGCTTTTTATTCAAATGAATTTACATCGTGATATTTGAAACAAGAAAAATGCTTTATGTATTTCGAGTTGATATTGGAGAAACTTACATATTTGAAACTGATTTAGCATTTCAAGAGTAAGTTTTCTGTTTATTGGAAGTCTTTTTTTATTTGACTGTTTTAGTGTAAAAACATTAAAAACAGCGATTGAACGCGAACATGGCATCGCTCCATCAAAGCAAATTTTAATTATAAATGGAGGAGAATTATTGGATGACGATGCTGTTCAAGTTTGTATG